CTGTGGGCTGTCCCCTCTGCCAACGTGATTGGCGGGTGGGGTGCGTGACTGGCAGCCATGTGTAGTCTCTGCTCTGCAGGCTGTGACGTTTCCTCTCCACAGTGTGATGGACACAGTGCGTGGCCAGCAGGCACTGTACATGGGCTCTGCTCTACAGGCTGTGATGTGTCCCCTCTGCCAGTGTGACCTTCAGACACCAGGTGTGATCAGCGGGCAGCGAGTGGCTGTGATGTGTCCATTCCACCAGTGACCTTCAGACAACGTGTGTGACCAGCAGGTACCACACATGGGTTCTACTCTATGAGCTGTGATGTGCCCCTTCTGCTGGCAAGACCTGCAGAAACAGTGCAAGGTACACAAACGTGGTTCATGGACTCTGCTTCACAGACTGTGACTATATTCCCTCCTCTGGTGCTGCTGTCTGACCCTGGCAGGAACCATGCACCTACACTCCTGAGCTGCAGCGGAGATTAAATGGTTGCCAACAGCGTTTGTATGCTGTGTGTTTTCATAGGTGATGCTCTCGCTCATGCAGAGTAATGGCTCCCTGTGGTTTTCCAGAAATCTCTCACTGAGTCCTGCTGCCTCCATGCTTTCATACTTGTTACCACATCTATGGGGAGTTTCAGGAGTGTTGGTCTCCAGACTGCGTCATTGCTCTTATCTGTCCCACTTCGGAGCTTCACTCCCTAGTGAGTGTGGAGGTCTCATGTTCAGCTGTCATTCATGGAAGAGTGAAACTTGGGCTAGTGGCTGCCCATGTCCTGGTCAGCATGTGACAACACCTGCTTCTCCTTGGAGATGCTGCCTAAAACTCTATGTTCAGAATAGCCTGTCCTGTCTGGGGCTTGACAGGAACTTTGCACAAGACCATCTTATACAGGCCTTAATGGCTTGGAGTGGTACATTTCTGGGTACAGAATGACATTATTTGTGTTTTACATGTGTTTAAGCATCCTTTGCACTTAGAGTATTTGCCTGTTTAAGCAGTGAAGTGCTTTAGGAACTAAAGATTGTGTTCTTAGAGCCTCTGTCTCTCCTTGGGTGAAGGCTTCACCTATGTTATGTTTGTATTACATGGAGTGAGTGAAAGCTTGCTGTAACATAGAACTGCAAGTCTTAGTGTGCCAAAGACTTCACATGCATTTATTTGCACTGGATTTTCTGGGCCTGTCTGGCAGATGGCTGCACAGAAGTCAAGCTGCCGTCTCTCACTGCAGTGATCCTGGGTTGTGTTTTCTCCCAGCACAGGCATGTTAAAAACAAATGCCTTGTGTACTACAGCTGGTGAGTTCTGTGATATTGCCACAAGCTTAAGGCGGTAGCATAGCAGAGCATGTAGTACCTACTGGTATAGAGTATGTGCTGGTATATAGCTGGTATAGGAGAGTTTTCAGCTGGGTTCTTGAGAGCTGCTTCTGGAAAGAATTGCTCCATTTTCAAATACAGGCTCCAGAGCAAAATTAGTCCGGGGCGGAAAGAGAGCTTTCCAGGATCCCCTCTGGTTGTCCGTTTACCCCTGTATGAGGTAACATAGATTCTAGTCTTGAAATGTCAGCTTGTGAAGAGCACTTGGAGTCTGGCATTTTAGTGTGTTGGGCGTGGGGGGGGAAAAACTCTGGAATTGCGGCTCTGTGTCACTCAGTGGTGCTCTTTCATGCTGTAAGCGAAGTCACTTGAAAGATCAGAGGCTGCTCCCCAGACAGGGTTTGGCAGGTAACGTTCTCTTCCAGGCTGGAAGAGCTAGGGAAGTCCATGGGAAGTGGTATGCATTACATGGGAACACCTGTCTGGCCTGTGTATTTTTAAGGCAGCCCTGCCAAAGGCTGGGGGGGTGGGGAGGACAGGGTGATGTATGTCCCCTGATCTTTCTTTAATCTGTATATAGTGATGAGGACCAGAAGGTGTAGGCTGTAACTGCAGCCCACCAGGACTCCAGCAAGAAATCTAGTTGCTTTCTAGGGAGCCGCCAGGCTCCCAAACCCAGCCGCAAGTCTGCTGCCAGGCAAAGAGAGGGTCTGGTGTCCTGCAGTGGCAGGATGCTGTGGTGTTCCCCTCTTGAACGGGAGCAGGAGGAAACATGGCTAGCTGCTGTGCTTCCTGCATTGCTCTGCTCCTTAACTCTGAGAAAGGAGATGAGCTGCTCCAGTAAGCCAGCTGACTCTCCTGCTCTGTGTCTGATGATTGTGTCTGAAATGTGGGGGGTCAAATACCGAGACTGAACTAATCTGCGTGCCTTAGAATGGATGATTTGGACAATGCAGTATTGCTGGTTCTTCCTCAGGTCTCCCTGACAGATCTTGAACATTAAAGTTACCCATCTCATAAACTGGTGATGAAATGACACATCTCTTTCTTCTGGTGGGCTTGGGTGGTACATTTCTTTATAATTCCTGGAAACTGGAGGGTGGGCGACAGGCTAGCATTTTCATATGGTGACTGCAGCAGGATGAGGAAGATGGGGGATTCCTGTCTGTTCCAAGGGCCTATTGGGGAAGATGGACATGCTGCTTGCAGTCAGTGGGAAACATGAGCCTCCCCAATCCTTTGCATACTTCATTCCTGCCAGCTGCAGACCTGCACTGTGCCTCTTCTAACATACCTGGGTTGCTTTGCAGTTCTGAAGCACCCACTGTGCTCACCGCCTTCTCTGGGAAGGAGCGAGCAAATGCTGCAGACAAGGTTTAGTTTTCTTGTGGAATTTGGTAGGAGGAGAGGTAGGCGCAGCATGCAGGGCATGGAGGGATCCTTTGAGGCATGCAGTCTGTCACTCAGGGTGTTACGGTGTACTTCCATGCTGATCAGGCCTGTGTACTTAGCTTTTCCAGGAAGGATTTCAGAAGCTCAGACGGGTAGTGGCTGGAGCTAGTCCAAATTCCTAGACTTAATTTCTCCCCAGCATACAAAGTTTCTACCCTTTTGTTTTCTTATGTCTATACTGTCGTC